TCCTGCTGAGGAGGTGCTGGAGGCTTTTCTGTTCATTTTTTTTTCTTTCTAGTTTTAGTTAAATGAGAATCAATTCAGAAGTTGCAACTTCTGAAAAATATGTTCTACTATTGCTGGTTAAACTCAAAGGAATTGCTAGAGGTGAAAATGTCTCAAAAACTAGTTTAAACATGATGTTTTGGCTTTTAGTTCTTAGTGCTGTGCCTGGGATTATTTGGGAGCTTAATCCTCAGCCCAGTTTTTCATTCCTAGGGAAATGTTGAATGAAGTTCATGAGGAGTTGCAGAAGAAAGATGCTGATCTTGCAGAACTCCAGCCTGATGCTGGTCAGAACCGTAAGTTTTTTTTGTGTGTTTTCTTGTTTTCATTTAATGAGACTGTGTTAAATTCCTTCTGAAGTGATTCCCATAGTCACTGGGCTATGGCATACTTGTCTGGATAAGGCTTTTTGCTACAGATTAGCTTTAAACTTGAAACAGGGGTGGAGGGAGGTTTGGGTTTGTTTTGTTTTCCACATGGTGGTGCTGAGGGAGAGGTTCATGGGGCTTAGTTGTGTTGAACAGTACTCTGCAAAATGGGAATTCAGGGTCAGGTGGGACCTTATGGTACAACTGGAACAAAAAGAAGGAAGTTAGGAAACGGTTTAGTAGCTAGAAGGTTGATTTGGGGGATGATGAAATCAAGAGAACACGGAAGCCCTTAAAGTACCGTCTCTATTTTTGTCTTTGTTGCTAATTTCTATAAATAGCCCAGAAAATTGGAGAGCTGGAAGCAGCTTTGAGAAAAAAAGATGAGGATATGAAAGCAATGGAAGAAAGATACAAAATGTATCTCGAGAAAGCAAGAAATGTGAGTGGTGTATTTCTGACCTTATCCATTCCTCCCTCATAAACTGTTAAATAGGTTGATTGGAGTCCCCTCATCTCCACCTCCCAATTAGGATCAGTAGCTACATGTTTGACTGCAAAGTCAAATAGCCCAAGTGCAGTGGGTTAAGTGCATGAGAGAGTGAGGTTCAGGCTAAAGCATGAGATGCATCAATGACTCCTCTGTACCCTTTGATGACTGTGTTGTACAGTGTAACAGCCTTGTTTTCATCCTAATTGCCTGCCTGGTGCTCAGGCTGCTTTCATATTTCTTCTGTGAGCAGATGAGATGCAGAGCTGCTGAGAGTCAAATCTGACTTGTAATGCTTTTGTTTTGCCTTGGACAGGTGATCAGAACCTTAGACCCCAAGCTAAACCCAGCGTCAGCAGAAATTATGTCGCTCAGAAAACAGTTAACGGAGAAAGACAAAAAAATTGAAGCTCTAGAGGTAAAACTTGATATATATGTAAAAATAAGTTTGCCCATGTTCTGCTCTCTCTGATGTGAGACACTAGTTATTGTTTCCTAAGGAGTCAGTGCCCTTCAGTGCTGCATTCAGTTAGAAATTGCACAGAACACCAAACCGGGAGGCTTTTGCTTTGGCTCAGGTAACCTTATATCCCAGCAGACACCTGCCAGAGCAGTTGACTTTTCAACAGTGTGTTTCAAGGTACAATGAGACAGTAATTCTTTCTAAACGTGCTGAAAAGCTGTAAGTGGAAACGCTACAGGAGTTGAACAGTTTGGCTGTGTTATGGTAGTTTGCATAGAGCTCCAGAGTCTGACCTTACCCTTTTTTTGAGAGTATTCCAAACACCAAACAAAACTGGGAAATGCTGCATTCAGTTTTTTAGCAGTATTGATGGGACTGGTTAGAACAGTCACCTGAGCAAATACAAAATTCCTTCAGGTGATTTAGTAGGCTGAAAGGTCTGACTGTAAATACTGTGGCCTCAGATTTCCTCTGTGTGTGTACTAGGTAAGTATCCTACGAAACAGCAATTCAGTAACCTGATAAGAACATTCAGGCCCTAGAGGTAGAAGGTGCAGGTGTGTGTCTGAGGGAGAAGGGAAGAGGCTCTGTTCTGCTGGAAGCCTGAGCCCAGCAGCAGGATGTTTTCAGCTGTCACAGGACACCCATGGGCAGCCTCAGATTTCTTCTGGGTATGTCCTAGGTAAGTGTACTGTAACATAGGAGTTCAGTAACCTGATAAGATATACCTCCAGTGCCTGAACAGTCTTATCTTTGTCTTTCAAGTGAAAAAAATGCTATTTATAGACTGCATGCTAACACCCTAGACTTTCGTGCATTTCCTCACACGCCCTCTAAGTATGTTTCTAAACTGAACTGTACCTTGTGTAAAGTTTAGCTCTTCTTGAAAGAGTCCATATATTTCCCTCACAGTCATTTATGCAAGTATCTTTACTTAACACTTCTAAGGCTTCTAGTTATTTTGCATAGTTGAGCATTTCTGCTGCATGTGTCTCAATGGACTGCAAGTTGTTTATGCAGATCTTTTTTTTCCTTTTTTAATTGAAATTGTGTTCTCTCCTTGCAGGCTGAATACAAAATTGCTAAGTTACGTGATTATGAGGAGAAGCTAATTGTGACTGCCTGGTACAACAAGGTGGGTCAGAAGTTCATGTGTGGGTAGCTCAGAATCTAGAAAAACACGTTTTGCTAAGTGTGACAGTTAAATCTTGTAACACCCTTACAACACCCTAAAAATTAAATTTAACAATATTTTAACAACCAATTCTTTTGTCCTTGGTTGTTGAAATTTTGGGGCTTAAGACAAATGGAGGCTGTGGCTGAAAAGGTTTCCAGATTCCTGCTTTAGATGTTCAGTGTCTTTAGCACAGTATTTGTGAAATAAAACTAGAGCTGTCTTCTCGTCCAGCAGCAAAGGTTGTTTGAGATTTGAAGGTAGATTGCTGTGAAAAGGACTGGAGAAAGTCATTCCTCTTCATCTGAAGCCATGTTTAAATAGAGTTTTATAAAGAAAGACTAGAATGGGAAATCCAAAAGGCATGGAAATTTGAATGGCTTAATAAAGGAACAACTTTACAGTAAACTGAAATGAACACGTGATGTGAATCAATCTTATTTTCTTCAGCCTTGGTTCATACATTTTATGGTAGGAAGAGGGTATATATAAAATGCAGCAGAAGAAGCTGTGTGCATAGGAGGTAAGCGTGAGTGTTGTGTGAAGGGTGACTTTTTTTTTTTTTTTTCCTCTTCTGTTCTTACTATGGTGGAACTGTTGTTTAACTTCCTTGCAGAGCCTAACTCTCCAGAAGCTGGGTATGGAAGCAAGGCTGGTTGGCAGTAGTGGTGCCTGCAGAGACGGCCCTGGACGCTCCTTCCTGGCTCAGCAGCGCCACGTCACCAACACCAGGAGGAATCTCACTGTCAAAGTACCAGGGGCAACATCTGATTAAGCCACAAGGACCATGAGGAAAACTTAAATGCTCAAGTGTCCTTAAATGTTTGATAGCTTCCACTTGAACTCCTTTAAGTGAAGGAGAAGGTTGGAGTGGTGGCCAACTGCAAATTCAACATCAGAACCTCTCAAGGAGTGGTGGAGTTGATCAGTGGGGTGTCTAGGAGGTAGCACATAGTTTTCCAAGTAAGTAGAAGCAGGTTTAGTCACTGCAGTGTGTATTTACAAGCACAACTTAAAAAGATTTATATTTGCTTTCAGAATATATTGTAAATATCAAAATTGGCACTATATATTTAAAACTGTATTTAATGGATTTGGGCAAGAAAGTTGACTTTTGTAATGGGAAGATGTTATGCAAAAATGTACTTCAGGAAACTGGCAATACTGGCATTTTTGCTGGACTCATCCAAAAAAAACCAACCTTTAAAAGCTGGGTACCATGTATTAAAAACCACCATTTTTTAGAATGTGAAGCACAATTTTAGAAGAAAAAAAATACTTGCATTTATAGAAACAGGAAATTTCTATAGTATCAGCTCTCTTGTAACAGAAAACAAGATCAGATTTGTCCTCTCAAGGGAGCAGCAGAACGACTCGGTTTGTTTAAAACAGAAAGTTTGTGCAGATATACGGTGAGGCAAACCTGTCTGTAAGATGTTGAATTCACTAAAGCCAAATAAGCTGTCTTTTCATTTGTAAGAAAAAAAGCTATCCTAATAATTCAGAAGTCTGGGCTATATTTTAAAAGTCTGTCATGTAGATATGCTGCATTTATTTGCAAAAGGGGGCGTTAGGTGAGAAGGAAACCCATTTATTTCTAGCTGTCTGTACAGTGCTGTGCATAGAGATGAATTTTCTTTTTTTAAAACTGTAGTTTCACTTCAGTTTCTCTGAGCTGTGCTAGGCAGAAGAACAAAAGGCAGCCTTGATAGTTGTAGGCAACAAGGATTATTTGTTGGCAGGGAGAGAAGTGCAGGAACAATAACTGTTTTGCAGTATCTAGATGGAAGAAGATGAAATGGAGACTGATAGCTGAAATTTTCTTTGTGAGAAGTTGGTGTCTTGCAAAAAAAATTCGCTTTATTTACCAAATATCTTCTTTTTGTTGTGAACTGTATTTTTAGGAACCTTCTTAATGTCCATTCTGCTTTATGAACTGTCTAGAGCAAATTCGTTATACCCACAGTTAATTAACATAAAATCACAGCAATCCTTAAAGTAAAATGAATACACTTCAGCTCTTTGAGGGTGCTGTACAGTCCATGATCTAACAGAAAACAGCCAAATGCACGGATGACAGCCTGTGTGTCTCTTCAGCATTAAGGCCATCTTTCATTTGAGAGCGAGGTTCAGCCTTGCAGAATTTCACTTTTGAGCTGTGAAATTTGAGTGGTTTCCCATGTCCCATGCCCCTCAGTGAGCTTACTCTTTGATTTCTTCTCTCCCCAGTATCTTGAATTCTTTACTGAGCATTGCATGCAATGCTAGAGAAAAGGGAAGTATTTGTTTCTGATACTAAATGTTGCTTCTTGGTTGTCGTGGTGGTTTTACAGTGCTGCACATCTAGCCATTCAACAGAACTCCTCTTTCAAAACTTCTGTCTACACAAGGCATTGTTTAAAAGCCAGTCTCATGCTAAATGTGGTGTGAGCAGAGAACATGTCAAGCAAGCTGCTGTTGGACAGTTTGGGCTGTCAGGCTGTGTTCTTCAGGACTCTGGTTCTTTGGACTACCTCTCAGGTTTTGAAGTCTTTTATTGCTGGAGTGATATTATAGGGGTTTGTATTTTTAAGATGCAATTATTTAATCTGCTAGTGGTATGGGAGGTGATGGTGAGCAGTGGAACAGGAGACTTAAGTCTCAGCCAAGATGCTTACATTTCTAAAGTCTGGTACTTTGGTGTGTTCTAGTGAAATGTGAAACTGTCCCTGGTGGTGTTGAATGGGTCTCTTAACCCCCCTTCTTTACAGCATGGGAACTTTCATGGACGTCTTTCAAGTACTCATTAGTTAGTAGGCTTGATGCATTTGTGGTGCTCCTCACAGTAGTAGGGCTGTGTCAGTAGTCGTATCAGGTGCTGAATAGTGAAAAACTTGGAGCAAATGTCTTTGATGTACACTTCTCAAAACTGCAAACCCTGGGACCAAAAATGACCAAGAACCTCCCTATCCTTTAATTGGAAGTTTGTGCCCTGACTATGGATGGAAGACTTTAAATATGGAACTACAGCCAGGGATCAGTTTTTGCAGGGCAGGATTGTCCCCAGGGGTGGTGTTGGGGTTGCCAAAAACGAATCGGGTTTTCAGGTATTAGATGAAATGTTCTGTATTTGGGATTTTTTCCAAACTGTTAAAAGTGAAGCTTGTGAATGTGATTTCAGTGTTTCTTTGGGACTGATAACCTGTTTAACTGGTCTGTCACTGGTTAAACTTGGTTACATCCTGTGAATGAGGAACCCATCGGTGGAAGGCAATACTTGACTATAAGCCATGATGTTGTATTCACTTCAGCTCACCTGGTGGTGCAAAGGCTCCTTAGAATAAGCCTCACTTCAATATCAACTCCATCCTTGTCAAACACAACCCACTGGTAGTGGTGTGGGTGTGTCACAGCGAGGTGTGTGCAGCGTGGGGCAGCAGGACGGTGCCAGCACAAAGGTGCCTGCTGCAGTGTGCACCCCTGTGGAGGCAGGAGGAAGGAAGAGGCTGCTTGTCTGCAAGGTGAGTTTGTGCCACGCCCAGACAGCACAGTTGGGAACAGAGTCAGGTGATGAGATGAAATCATTGGATATTGCTGAATTTAATCAGCATTATTAGTAACTTGAGCCGGTGTCCAGGAAAACAGGTAATATAGATCCAAAGAAACAAAACTCTGCTCTGATTGACATATCATTTGTTAATAATTTTTTTTATATAAGATGAAGAATAACCACTTCTGGAAGAGAAGTGTTTTGTAGCAATAACACAAATTTTGGACTAGTAGGTTCTGTTACTCAAGGTGGATCAGGCAGCAGTTTTGAGAAGATTTTTTTGCAACAACTCTATTATAATGAATTAAGAAATGTTTGCTGGAAGTGGATTTTTCACCTAACTTTTTTGTTTGTTAAATTATATATATATATATATGGGTACTTTATTTTCTACAATATACACTTACTTGGAAATAAGTAACATAAGCAATAGTGATGTTTTATTTAGGTAGCCATTTATATAGGAATTAGAAAATGAAAACAATTGTGTAAGACCTGGTAATGTCTAGTAATTTTCTTAATATTTTTGCTTTTTTCCTTTCCTCCCTAGTCAAGCTAGTGTTAAGATTTTCAGTGTATCAGTGTCTACATCTTCTGTTTAGAAAAAATGTAAACACTATTGCATAGAATATGAAAAATTGCACTAATTTTTAAACTTTTGGGTTTATTTTTCTTTGGAAAGAATTCTTTTATATTCATATAAAGATTTTTAAAACTTGATTCTTCACTGTCTTTATTTCAAGCAATATATTAATGGTCCCTACCTGACGTAAGCATCCATATTTTTGGAACACATATGAACTGGGTGTGCATGTTGATCTATTTTACACCATCCCGATGTCATGTTACAGGATATGTAGCGTGTGTGTAGAATGAATGCATGTAAATTTTGCTCTCACAACAGAGCTGTGATGCCTTCCCCTCCTCGTTTCAGCT